AGTTATCAAGTCCAGCCCACACTCAAGGGGAGGGGAACTAGGTCTCACTTGTTAAAGGGAGGAGTAACACAAAATTTTTGGACATATTTTAAATGACCACATGTAATATCTCAATTTAAAATTATTTTTTAAAGAGGACAATATGATAGAAAGTAATGAGTTTTGGGGAGGGTGTTCACTGTGTTCTAGGAGGTGACATCTGAGCTGAGTTCTGAATAGACGGAGACAGCCACATGAAGATCTAGAGGAAAGCATTGATGGTGGCCAGAGTAGGAAGTGCAATGCTTTGTAGCAGCAATGAGTTGTTGGAGACTCACAGAGAAGGCAGATAGGTAGTGAGCAAGGGGAGGGGAGAGCAGTTGGAGTTGGCAATGCAAATGGAGACCATAGAGGCCAAAGAAAGATGTTTGGATTTTATTTTAAAGATGACTAGAAGCCATCGGGAGAATTTTAGAAAGGGAGAGATCTCCTCTGATGAATGGTGTGCTCTGGCTGCTATGGATTCTATACCCGGCTGTGAGTGGAAATGAGCAGTTCAGAGGCCCTCAGCAGAGGAGAAGATGGTGGATGGGGTTAGAGTGGACATGATCATAGGAACAAGGAGAAAAGTGGCAAGTCCCTGCCTCTGGCTGTAGCTCCCACAAGCTCGCTTCCTTCCCAGCCACCAGCCTTGGGCAGTGGATTCACTAAGGCACACAGAACTCACATTCTGATCAAACATAGCAAAAAGGTACAGTTGTGTTTGCTGACAGCAAGAGAAGGTTGTCTTTGCCCTGAGAAGGATCAACTTTGACCATCAACAGGAGTTTTGTCTGATCCTACAGGGTCCTCCTTTTGTGAGTCAGCCTTGCCTGGGCTATTTTTTACCCATCTCATGGGACCTGCTAGTTAAGTCTTTCCAGATAAAATGCCCTTCTTTCAAACAAAGGATATTTTAATCCTGGAGAAGAATGTGGTGGTTGCCACTGGCACTTGACTGTAGTGTGACAATGTGAAACTCCTTGGTTTCTGTCCAGAGGCAGGACTGGCCAGAAGCTGGGAGGAGGGTGCTTGTTATATACTAGACCAGTCCTGTTTTGTGGCTTGGGCAGTAGGGGAGGGGGGAGGCTCCCCTGATAGAAGAAGACATTCAGTATTTGTCCATCTACAGTCACATGCTCTTCCTTGCTGGATGCATCATTGATAGTTGGATTTATTTTTGAACTTTCTACAGAGAGAGGCAATGGGATGTAGCTTAGATGCTTCATCAGAATCCAGATATTTTGCAACTTTTGGGGAAGAAAATTCTTCAGAATAGAATAGCTGGAAAGAGATGTTTATGTTCTACAGTTTGGACTTAGATTTCTTTTTATCATTTGTTTGTTTACCCTCCCTTCCTCACCCACCCCTGGTAACCATCAAAGAGTATTTCTTTTTTTGTGTGACACCTTTTTCTCGACTTTTTACAATAAGGGTCTCATACAATATGTATCCTTTTGTGATGACTATTATGGTGAATTGCTTGATTTGGCCCTTCTAGCCACTGTCCTTCATTTTGTGGTGCATTGTAAATCCTATTATCCATGCCTGTTTGGGGTGGTGTGGTGGTTTAAGTTGTGTGTCAACTTGGCTGGGCAGCCGGTAGTAGTCATTCCTTATAATGACTGGCAATAGGCTCTGTGGTGGGATTTGCCGTGAGCAACTGAGTAGCTGCTGATTGTTAAAGCCATCCACTTGGGTTATTTCTGTTGGTGCAGCACAGGTGGGATATATCTTGAGTCCCGCCTTGCTGGAGGGTGTAACTCAAATCACCACACTTAGCTTCTTTGAGGGTATACCTACGAATCTCCTGGGAAGGTTTGCCCTCCTCTTGCTCCATTTCTGCGATTTGGCTTAATGTCATCTCACCCCTGGATTTGGGACAGCAGCCATCATCTGATCTGCTGATCGAAGTTCATCAAGCCTCAAGAATTGGGAGGATCCTCCAGACCTACTTACAGACCTGGGACTTGCCAGCCTGCCAGCCTCCACCACCATTACGTGAGATGATCCTTTGGGTGTCTGAGTTCTGTGAGACCTTAAGCAAAATACAGAACCCTAATATGGGGGAGATTACTGAGAGTAGTAGTTAATGTCTGAAATGATGGAGTGGCACAGTAGTTTCGACATTTGGAACTTCTTTAACCTCCACCTCATGGGGACTGGACTTTTCCTGATCTTTCTAAGAGAAATTGTTCAAGCAACTATCCACATTGAGCATAAATAGCATTTAAGTTTATCCATGTTATGCTTCTCAGGTACATCACTGTTCTTTAATGTTGCATATTATTCCATTGTATGCATGGACCAAACTTTGTTGATCCACTCCTCCACTGATGAGCATTTAGGTTGTTTCCATATTTTGCTATTGTTAATAGTGCTGTGAGGAACATGGATGGGTGTACATATGTCTGTTCATGTCACGGTTCTTATTTCTCTAGGAAATACCTAGTAGTGGGATTGCTGGATCATAAGGTATTTCTGTTTCCAGCTTCTTAAGGAAGTGCCATACAGTTTTCCACAGTGGTTACACCATTTTACAGTCCCCCCAGCAGTGTAGGAGGGTTCTAATCTCTTTACACCCTTCCTAGCATTTGTTGTTTTCTGTTTTTTTGTTTGTTTCTGGAAGTTTGCTGTTAGTGCTGGGGGGTGGGGAGATATCATCTCATTGTTTGTTTTCATTTGTATCTCTCTAATGACTAATGAGGTGGCTCTGGTGGCACCGTGCCTAAGGCATCTGACTGCCTAACCACAAGGCTGTTAGGTCAAACCCACCAGCCACTCCTCGGAAGGAATGTTGGGCAATCTACTTCCGTAGAGACACTGCCTCGGAAACCCAAGGAGGAGTTAATATGAGTCGGATCCAACTTGATGGCAGTGAGTTTGGTTTTTAATGAGTAATTATCCATAGTGCCTAAGATACGTGACTGCTAACCAGAAGGCTGGAGCTTCAAACCCACCAGCCACTCCTCGGAAGGAAGGTTGGGCATTCTACTTCTATAGTGATACTGCCTTGGAAACCCAAGGAGGGGTCACTATGAGTCGGGTCTGAGTCAATGACACATAACAACAAGAACCCCGAGCATTTCTTTTGTGTGTTTATTAGCTGCCTGAATATCTTTGGTGAAGTGTCTGTTCCAATGTCCTCTGCCCATTTTTAAATTGTCTTTGTTAAGATGAAGTTTTCTATAAATAAATTTTAGAGACTAGCCCCTTGCCTGATAATGTTGTTGCTGACAAGTTTTTCCCAGTCTGAGTTCTCTTTTAGCCTTTTGGTGAAATCTTTTGATGTGCATGTCTAGTTTTTAGGAAGTCTCAGCCATCTCCTTTGTCTTCTGGTGTTCGTACATTTTTAGTTATATTCAATAGTGTATTTATGCCCTAAATCAGGGCCCCTATGTTTGTCCCTATGGACTTGATTTTCTAAGGGAGGGGTTTACAACTTGCAGATCATAAATCCTGGTCTTCTTTTACTTCCTAGCAAATCCCAAATCTCTGTCATGATGAGAGGACAGAATTTCATGCATCTTGGTAGAATGTTAAAGCTGCAAAGACTTACTTAGTATCAATTTGGTTCCAAACTAGAAATGTGTCTGCAGGTTTTGAGCCCATAGATACGGAGCATACAAACAACTTGTACCATCAGTGATTAGTGACTCATGACACTCCTTGAATAGGCAGTGTTTCTTGTTTTTCCAGACAGTTGAAGGAACTTGGAGCTAGGGATTGGGAGATCTGTGTCCTAGGCTGAAGCACTGCTGATTGTGTGAACCTGGGTAGCACACTTACCTCTCAGGGTTTTAAAGGGAGTATAAGGGTTACACTCAATAACCTCTAGGTTCTCTTGCTCCTCTGATGTTGCAAACAGCTTCACACTCCCTCAGCTCCCAAGGTGAAGTGAGAAAGTCAGAAGAAAAGACTGGACAGATAGATATCTGAGAGGCACAAATGTCTATGCAGCCAATGTAGATGAATCATTATGAGGTTTGGATATTATTGTATTATCAGGTGTTTTCTAGTTTATTGTGCCATTTGACCACACAGTAGGAACATTAAGAACTTTGAGAACAGTCCAGATTTGGATGTTTTTATCCCATCCCTATGTAAAGTGAAGTTTGTAGAAATTTTTGTTTCTAGCCACTGGCTGTGCCTTCCAGTATACCCGATCAGCTGCCATAAATAACCATGCAGGGTGTATACTGTGCAAAGTATAGACTCCTAACTCAGGAGACAAATGAAGCTGATATCAAATCAATACTGGGCCAGAGGTCACCTAATCTTAGGCTTCTGAGTTTAAATGTTGGCATGAGGGAATGAGGTAGCTTTGGAGTGGTAGTTAAGGGCAGAAAGGGTAGAAAATGGATAGCCTGAATTCAAATCATGCCATCTAATAGTTGTGTGACCTAGGACACACTGTTCAAGTTTGTTTCCTCATATATAAAATGAATAGTAGTGCATCACTTACCCCTTTCACAGATGAGAGACGCTCAAGTCTCTCATCTGTGAAATAAGATAGTTCACTTTACCAAGTTGTCTGAAAGACTGAATACAGGGCATGTGTAACACTTGACGTATAATAAATGGTGGACAGTCTTTTTGTCGATTGTAAGCTCTTTAAAGAAAACTAAATCATCTTTGTAGCCATAGCACCTGGCACAGTGCCTATGACATAAGTAGGTACTCAGTAAATGTTTATTTGAATCAATGATGCATGACTTTTAGCACAGTTCATTCTCAAAATTTCTTGTCTCATAGTCATTACTTCTTACATAATTGTAGCCCCCGTATTTTGACTTCTGTACTTTTTTTAATGAAAGCTGGAGAAGTCATTCAACATCTTAAAGGGGAGGCAGCACACCCCACATCATGTAAGCTTCTTGGAAATCTTCACATTACTTCCTGGCTAGATCTGGTTGATAGTCTTGATAGGCTGGCTGAGATGCTCCATTAAGTATGTTGTTTTATTTTCTTTCTTCTTCCAGATTCTTAGAATTTGCACCAGGTATACCCCAGAACAAGACACCATGACTTTTTCAGATGGCCTTACCTTGAATCGAACTCAGATGCACAATGCTGGATTTGGTCCTCTGACCGACCTTGTATTCACCTTTGCCAACCAGCTCCTGCCTTTGGAAATGGATGACACAGAAACAGGCCTTCTAAGTGCCATCTGCTTAATATGTGGAGGTACCACCTACCTAGAAAGCCCTGTGTTGCTCCATAAAGGAAAAGCTGCAGTTTTAATTTATGCGAAATTCCTCCTGTTTGGGATTATTTTTCATGGGGAAAAATACATGTGACTAAAGCTAGGCATGCTTGCCTGGGTGGTGTATTTTTCTATATTGTTATGACTTAAATTATGGTATTGGGCTCTTTCAGCTCTGAAAGAAATACCAAAATGTTATTTTTAAAAAAGCAGGATTAGACTATTGTAAAATATTGCCTAGGGACATTTGAATGATGATCTGAGGGACCTGAATATACAGTTTGCTAATTTAGTGCCCTGAATACAAGCCACTGGCTTGCTATACAACCTTTCTTCAACCTTTGAATGTATGGGATAAAATAAAGCTTTCTTCTTAGTAGTGACTCGTAAAGGCTCACAGGAGGCTGAATCATAAGTGGTTAAAAAGTAATGGCTTTAATTAAGAGACAGATTTACCTTGCTTTTCTAAGCATCCGCCTAAGGTTTTGAAAATCAGTACAGTAGTGCCACCTCCTGGTCATGAGAGGTAATTCTCTACCAGCCAAAATCAACAATCCATGAAAACATGCTTTCAACTGCTAAAAGGAGCACTCCTTTTTAAAGTGTTACTACTTAAAGCAATTGTGTATAGATCTTCAAATCTATATATGTGAACCATCACATTAATAAAGTTGTAAGAAAGTCTTACAGGAACAACCACCACAAAAGGGAAATGGGTGGAAGTCCTAAGGGAAATGGGTGGAAGTCCTCTAGCATAGAGCATGCATAGCCCTTACAGTCCTGATGCTAATTGTCTAATACTTTATTTCTGATACCTAGACCGTCAGGACCTTGAAGAACCAACAAAAGTAGATAAGCTACAAGAACCACTGTTGGAAGCATTAAAAATTTATATCAGAAAAAGAAGACCCAGCAAGCCTCATATGTTTCCAAAGATCTTAATGAAAATCACAGATCTCCGCAGCATCAGTGCTAAAGGTATGTCTTTAGAATCAGTACCATGTTCACGAAGTTGACTTGTATTTTCAAACCCTGGTGGTGCGGTGCCTAAGGCATTTGACTGCTGATCACAAGGTTGGTAGTTCTAAGCCCATCAGCTGCTGTGTGGAAGGAAGATGGAGCAATCTATTTCTGTAAAGATTTACTGCCTTGGAAACCCAATGGGAGTTGCTTGAGTCAGAATCGATTTGATGGCAGTGAGTTTAGTTTTTGGTCTTATAATGTAAGATATTTGCTAACTGGTCCCTTAAAAAGAAAAAGTTTTGGAACTCATTTCTTGTTAAAATCCAAATAAATAATTCCCTCCCCTCCAATAAAGTATCTCAAATCTTACCCTACTCGATAATCTTAGTAATTAATAGATTGAGAGCTTTAGAATTCAGATGACGAAGTCATAAGAAGGAGCTCTGGTGGATTAGTGCCTAAGGCACTTGACTGCTAACCAGCAGTCTGGTAGTTCAAACCCACCAGCCACTCCTCAGAAGGAAGGCTGGGCAATCTACTTTCATAGTGATACTGCCTTGGAAACCCAAGGAGGAGTCGCTATGAGTCGGACCTGACTGCAAGTGAGTTTGTTTTTTTCTATGTTTAAGTGATAAACAAAAACTCTTTTCAAGAGAACATACTACATAACAGGCTTTTTATTTTCCTACTTTTATATATGCCATTACAGCTTTGTATACATGCTCTGGAAAACTTGACTCCAGTTTTTCCTTAAGATTTAAACCTCAAGAAAAATGAATAGTACTTAGGGTAATTGTTATTGGTTAAGCTTTTCTCTCAATCAGTGTAGCCATGGCTCTCTTGTACTGACACATTTACTTCTGCACCCCTCTAAACAAAGGAATTCTTGCCTTCCAGAGAGGTATAAATATTCTTTGCTTAGCGATTTTCAGTTTATGTGGCAATTCAAGCAATTACAGAAGTGCCTAGAGCCATATCATATAGTTCAGTGTTAGAGTTTTCCTATGTATAGAGAAAAGTCAGCAGCTATCCTTGGTACCAAATGTGCTATTATTTGTCATTCTTCTTCCCCATTAGTACACTGTCCCTGAAGACCTTGGCAGGCCAAGGAACAAGTTCCACATTTGTACTTAAAAGCACAGTGAACTTGTTTGACAAGGAGCCTTACTTGTTGAGCTCCTTTTCTTTCTTCAGTGAGAGATCCTGAGCTTATCCCTAGCATGAGATTAAGAATAGAAGCAAACAGCAGATACCAGGGCTTCAACAATGTAATTATGTCCTTAATTTTAAATAATGAAGATATTTAACTTAATTTAGCCATCCCCTGTATATAGCTAGCTAGATTGCTATATCCAGACCACTGCATCTAATTGAATTTACTGCAATTACAGAAAGGTTCTGTACTCTGCACTGTCCAATTGAGTAGCCACTCACACATGCCACACTTGAGCATTTGAACTGTGGCTAATGCAACTGAGGCACTGAATTTCTGACAGTATTTAATTTAGCAAATTTGAGTCTAAATATTTAGCCATATGTGGCAAGTGTCTACTGTACTGGACAATGCAGTGCTAGATGAAGTTGTGAATCACAGCAAAATTATTACACAAGTCAGTTGCTCCATTCATGGGTAGCTAGTATACTTTTGGTGGTCTCCATTTTCAAGTTATACTCTTTTCTGGTCTTTGATTGCAAACTTCTCATTGTACATTATGTTAAGTATATATTGAAATTGTTTTCTGAAACTTATTGAGATATGGAGATATCAAATTGAAACATGCCACCACATATTTGTTGCTTTTCTATGAAACTATGTTAATTTTGTTAAGTTAGGATAGCTTCTGGGAGTAATGACTCCACTTCCCACAGTTTGCTGTTATCAAATGGAACAGTAGTATCAGCTGTTGCCTCCTTTAAAAATAAATGAAGTTCTAACAGATAGTTTAGACACCCTTATCAATATTCTATGATGCTCCTTAGTTAAGAACCCAATATGATTCTGATTTCATGGTACACTAATATGATTTTTGGTAGCTGTGGTTCCCATTCCAAATACAGGTATATTTTTGAGAGCTATAGTAATAAATGAATTCTTTCAATAAAGTTAAAAGGTATTAGATATCTAATTTCATAACTTGATTTATTCTTAATAAGTCTGAGGAAATACCCTTGTTAAAGAAGATGAAAGTTGGGTCCCTATTTTTCTGCTTAACTCCTCATCTTAACTATATTTCTTTTATCCCTTCTTAAAAGGTGCAGAACGTGTAATTACCTTGAAAATGGAAATTCCTGGATCAATGCCACCTCTCATTCAGGAAATGCTGGAGAATTCTGAAGGACATGAACCCTTGACCCCAAGTTCAAGTGGAAATACAGCAGAGCACAGTCCCAGCATCTCATCCAGCTCAGTGGAGAACAGCGGGGTCAGTCAGTCACCACTGGTGCAATGAGACATTTTCCAGCTACTTCAAACATTCCCCAGTACCTTCAGTTCCAGGATTTAAAATGTAAGAAAAACCGTTTTTACTGCTGCTTAGTTTTTGGACTGAAAATATATTAAACTCAAGAAGGACCAAGAAGTTTTCATATGTATCAATATATACTCCTCACTGTCTAACTTACCTAGAAATATGAACTTTTTAAATTCTAAAAATCAGCCATTTCATGCAACCAGAAACTAGTTAAAAGCCTCTATTTTCCTCTTTGAACACTCAAGATTGCATGGCAAAGACCCCTTCAAAATGATTTACACCCTGGTTAAGTTTCTGAAGACTTTGTACATACAGATGTATGACTCTGTTATTTCTATACTGTATGTTTGGTGCTTTCCTTTTGTCTTGCATATTCAAAATAACCAAGACACCAAGGTTATAAAATAAACTACTGTACATGTCCAGCTAAGAAAGATTGACAAAGATCCTGTCTTGCTTTCACAGAATAATTAAGACATCAAGGTAAGGAAATGGGACTATTGTACAGTATGGTAAGACTAAAGATATTCTAACTAGTTAGTATGGAAGCTTGTCCTTGCTCTTTCTGATGCTCTCAAATTGCATCTTTTATTTCATGTTGCCCAGTAAAAGTATACAAAATCTACTGCACTAGCAGAAGATAATTCTGTATCAGTGTAACTGCCAGTTCAGTTAATCAAATGTCATTTGTTCAATTGTTAATGTCACTTTAAATTAAAAGTGGTTTATTACTTGTTTAATGATATAACTACACAGTAAAAAAAAAAAAAAAAAAAATTACATTTTTACACTAATGATAGCCTCCAAGGCAGCAACACTTCTCAGTGTTAATAAGTTTTTGTTTACCTGTTCACAAGCCATTAGGGAAATTTCATGGGATAATTAGCAGGCTGATCTACCACATATACCATGTAACTCTGGTGTCTTTCCTGATTCATGCCTGATATTGGGATTTTCTTCCAGCTTTCCTGATGCTTGAAGAGCTAACATTAAATCCCAGAGGTGTGGACAGAGACTTGGCCTCTTTGGTTCAATCACTATGAAGCAGACTGAAAGCTATGGTAGAGTGGTTAACAGATACAAGTGTCAGTTTCTTAGTTCTCATTTAAGCACTAGTGGAATTTCTTTTTTTTTTTTTCTTTTGATATATTAAGCAAGTCTGTGATGTACTTCACTGGCTCTGTTTGTACATTGAGATTGTTTAACAATGCTTTCTATGTTCATATACCGTTTACCTTTTTTCCATGGAGTCTCCTGGCAAAGAATAAAATATATTTATTTTAAAGGTGTGTGTGTGAGCTTTTACTACACTTGCATTCAGTAAAGAGACAGAAAAACACAGTTCCATTTTTAATTGTTTAAATTTCATTTCAAAAAGCAGGTCTGTGGTCTGCAACCATGACAATTAAAATCTGTGCTAATGCACGGCAATCTATAACAATTCTACAAGCCAATCAGATAGTTCATGACATTTCAATGAGTAAAAAAGAGCATAAAACTGTATGTGTAAGAACAAAATGTTAAAAGGCCTACCACAATAATAAAAAACCATCAATTACATCATCACATTAAAATAAGCCAGATGTACAAAAGTCTGAGACAGAAAGACAAAAGGACAAAACACAAGGTATTTGTTGAAAAATGTTTGTGCTCTTCGGGCACTTAATTAAACATTGCAAAATCAACATCTTCTTCTTCATCAGACTCTGTAAAATATTTTACTTCTTTTCTAGCCCTACCGGTTCGTGGCAGAGAAGGTGGTTCAGAAGTGAAGTCTGATGGGAAGATGTCCACATCTGAATCCTGATCAAAAGATGTTTTCTTCGGTTTCTAAACATTTCCCCCCCACCAAAAAAAAAGAAAAAATATAGATTTTAAAATCCCAAAGTTAAGATTTACTCATTTCACTTATATGTAGGAAGTGTTACAAATAATGGTGCTTTTAAAATCAGATTTGCAGTGCTAACTGTAGTATAAGACTAGATACCTAGTACTTACTTTGAAGAAAAAGTATTGAATATAATAATCTGCCACTCTGGTAAGGTCTCTCATTTCTAGCTTTTTAAAAAATGCCACTATTTTTTTCTAAAATTATACATTTCTCAGCAAGTATGCACAATGCCCAAGTTAGTAAAAATTCAAGTACATATCAACAATTCATTAGAGGGTTACAAGATAAACATGTATGATGTGTGTAGTACACACTCTATATCTTTACAAAAATGCAGAGAATGGTCACCAGGGTGGACCAAAGGCATCTAAGACAACTGAATGGAAGAGGTCAATGTGAAGAGTAGCAACAAGCTCTGGATCACCCATGTTTGTATTTTTAAGTTTTAATGGGGTGGTTTAGGGACACATGTCTCATTTACCTGAAAAGAGATAATGTACTTCTGGAGAAGGATCAGACTAATTGGAAATACTAGCCACAGTCAAATGGATTCAAGTTTAAAAGAAAATTAGTCCTGATCAAAATTTCAAACAGGTAGCATAGAATTACTGCTGCTCAGGATGAACTGTAATACTTTCAGAGAGTTAGTTAATTCATAGTACACTTTGTCCAATAAAAAGTACTCCCTACATAAATTTTTACTTGGGTAAGTTGTTAACCATACACAAGCGTCTATGGATAAGAGATAGTAGGTTTAAAGCTGTTATAAGAAACCATGATAGTAATAAGCAAACTAAGTCAGTTATACATCGTCGTAAACTGTCCATTAAAAAGACGGTCCCAGTTACCTTGCTTGTTGTTTTGGATGTTTTCCTTCCCGGGTTATAGTCACCTTCATTTTCAGAGCCAGATGCTTTCCTTTTCTTTGCCCCTCGACCTTTACCTTAAAATGATAAAGATGTTTTGTTTTTTTTTTCCCCCTCAAGGTTAAGTGCAATATAAAAAGATCAATACCAAAACATTACTTCTTTGCCATGCTCAATCAGTATAAGAATCTGACCTCTTAGTATGTATGATTCGGAAACAATCTGGCAACATCATTTCAGTTCTGGGGTTTACATGACTAAACAGTATTTCATGAATACATTTAAAGTAGTTTGAAGGTCCTGGTGACAAATGTAATCTCTTAGAAGAATGCTTCTTAAACTATATGTGGTTTTTTTAAAAAAACTTTTCCCCCCCCTCAATTTCCAGCTTGCAAAGGACTTTTTAAAAATGTTAGGAAAATAGGAATTACTAAAAAAGTAAATCACAAGCTTAGATGTCACAGTAACACCAAATTGTAAAGGCTTAAATGCTCAATTTCTTTACTTATCACACCACAAACTAGGACCAACCTAGTATGGATCTGGAGATCCCACTTTGAGTAGCACAATTTTAAAATAAGCCCCTAATATTCAGGTAAGGGGAGGGTAGAGAGATATCGAACAGCTAATGGAGACAAACTTGTCTGTCAGTTTGTCCTACTGTGGTGGCGCGTTGCTGTGAGGCTTGAAGCTATACCACTGCTGTTTCAAACGCCAGCGGAGTTGCACATGGTGCACAGGTTTCAGCACAGCTTCCAGACTGAGACAGACTAGGAAGAAGGAAGAGGCCATCCATTTCTCAAATAACTGTCCAGGGAAAACCTTATGAATAGCAGAGAAACACCGTCTGATACATTAGCAACTTTATGATTAGCCCAGAAACATTGTATACCAAGGATCATGGAGCTGGCGCAGGACCAGGCAGTGGCAGAACCAGGCAGTGTTTCGTTCTGCTGTGCATAGGGTCGCTATGAGTCAGAGTTGACTTGACAGCACCTAACAACAACAATCCCTAGTATGAATCTTGAAATAATCTATTATTTGTCAGATCCATATTCCTTCTCTGACCTAGAATCACTACAGGTGGCATCCCCCACCACCACCCAATCAACCTAACCTCTTACCTTCATCATTGCAGAAGGAAATGGGAAAAGGGTTAAATTTCAATAGTAACCAGATGTTCTCCATCCCACAATGGCAGTGAAAGAGAAAATAAACTAAATTGGAATTCTAAATCCTAAATCATTTCTTCAGAGCTATGAACTACCAGATTGCACTAGAAGGAAAAGATAGCCTAAATGAACTTGGAATGTCGTATTTAATCAAATGAAACACTGAAATAGCACTTTTGAATTTATAAAGGTTTCAAACCATGCATATTTTAAGTACGGACCTCCCTACCCTCCTGACTCCACCACTATGGTTCTCTCCCACCCCTTAAAACTGTCCCTTTTTCCAAAGGACTAAAGGACCACATGATTCCAAGTGTCTACAACCCTGAGACTAGAACTTGATGCCCGGCTACCACTGCTAACCACTCTGAAGATGATCACAATAGAAGGAATACCTGGATAGAATGGGAGAAAAATGTAGAACAAAATTCAAATCATAAAGACTAGGATTCCTAGTCTGATAAAGACTGACGGAACCCCTGAGACGATGGCTCTTAGACACACTTCAAGCTTGGAACTGAACTCATCCCCAACGCTAAACTTATAGCCAAATAATAGACAAGCCTATAAGGTGAACAGTAACACCAGGGAGGTATGCGCTTCTTAAAACAATTAACCATATGAGATCAAAATGGCAGCATTTGCTCAGGAATAAAGCTCAGAAGGCAGGAAAGGAGGACAAATGGAAACAGAAAACACAGGGAGGAAGTGAGACATTGTGGAGATTGCAATCAATGTCACAAAACAAAATGTGTATGAATTCTTGAATGGAAAACCAATGTGCTCTGTAAACTTTCATTCAAATCACAAAATAAGTTTATCTTAACTTGTAAAGAATGTCTACCTTGACAATTACATTGTTTTAAGAAAAATAAAGCTGCATCCTTTACTATCACTTCCCTATTCCATCCCCCAACATCCCTAAGCAACCATTAATCTACTTCCCCTCTCTAAAGATTTGCCTATTACAGATAGTAATAAAAAGAGTAATAGGTAGCCTTTTGTGATTGGCTTCTTGTACCTAGCATGTTTTTAAGATTCATTCATGTTACTGCTTAAAGTGTTTATAACCCCCTCAGAACCACATGTGAAACCCTTAAAAATGGCATATCCACATGCTAAACCTCACTATGAACAGCCTTTTTGAGCTTTCTTATCCCTAGGTATTGATCAATTCAAAAATATTTAACTAACTCAGCTTTGAAAATATCGTTGCACTACGAGCTCTGGTGGCATAGTGCCTAAGGCATCTGACTGCTTGCTAACCAGAAGGCTGGCGGTTCAAACACACCAGCCACTCCTCAGAAGGAAGGTTGGGCGATCTACTTCTATAGTGATGCTGCCTGGGAAACCCAAGGAGTTTGAGTCGGGTCTGACTCCATGGCAGTTAGTTTGAATTTTTGGATTTAAAGTTGAGAAAATATATAATAAAAAAAACTTTCCATGCCTTTGCTATTATTGTAAATCCCCCTGAACTACAGCTCTTCATGTTGTTGTTGTTAGATGCCATCAAGTCATCTCCAACTCATAGCGACCCTATGCACACCAGAACAAAACACTGCCTGGTCTTGAGCCAGGTGCACAATTCTTGCTATACCTGAGCCCATCACTGCCACCACTGTGTCAATCCACCTCATTGAGGGCCGTCCCCTCTTTCATCCACCGTCCACCTTACCAAGTATGGCATCCTTCTCTAGGGAATGGCCCCTTCTGACATGACCAAAGTAGGTGAGACGAAGTCTGGCCATTCTCGCTTCCAAGGAGCATTCTGGCTGCACTTCCTCTAGGACAGACCTGTTAGCTCTTTTAGCAGTCCACGGTACTTTCAGCATTCTTTACTAACACAACAGCTTAAAAGCATCAAGTCTTCTTCAGTCCTCCTTATTCATTGTCCAGCTCTCACATGCCTATGGGGCAACTGAAAATACCATGGCTTATGTCAGGTGCACCTTAGTCCTCAAGGAGACATCTTTGCTCCTCAGCACCTGAAAGAGGTCTTTTGCAGCCAATTTGCCCAGTGCTATACATCGTCTGATGTCTTGACTGCTGCTTCCATTGGCGTCAATTGTAGAACCAAGTAATGTGAAGTCTTTGACAATTTCAATCGTTTCTCCATTTATCATGCTGCTGCTTATAGGTCCAGGATGAGGATTTTTGTTTTCTTTATATTGAGATGTAATCCATACTGCAGACTATATTCTTCCATCTTCATCAGTAAGTACTTCAAGTCATCCTCACTTTCAGCAAGCAAAGTTGTGTCGTCAGTGTATTGCAGGTTGTTAATGATTCTTTCTCCAATCCTGATGCCATGTTCTTCTTCATATAGTCTAGCCTCTTGGATTATCTGCTCAGCATA